TGTTAGCAGCGACGGGAGTAGGTACAGATGAAACATTTGAAGCAGGGGAGATATTTGTACCTACGGGTACGAATGTAGAATTTGTTCCTCGCTGACCGTTGTTAACAGCAGAGGAATTTGTACCTGGTCGGAAACGTGGAGCGTTTCCTACCTGACGGTTAGAACGAGATTGTAGGATCGCTTTGCGAGTCTTACATTCCCAAAAATTGGATTTGTGGTTTTCACCACAATTTGAACATTTAAATTTCTTAGGATCTTCCTTCACAGGACAGTCGTCCTTTGCGTGAGAGGAATCACCACAATTCATGCATTTAGCTGGCATGTAGCAATTTTTAGTTCCGTGACCCCATCCCTGGCACTTACGGCACTGGGTGAGGTTTTGGAAATTTCCTCCAGTCTTCCTGAAGTGTTCCCACTTCACTCGGACATGGAGCATAAGGCTAGCTTTTTCTAAGGCCTTAAGGTTGTTTAGTTCACTAGACTTGAAGTGAACTAAATAAAAATCATTAGAAATCCCGTTGCGCGAATCGCCAGGACGGGATTTCATTTTCATTTTGATTACTTGGAGTGGCACAACTCCAAGTAATTTTGCCAGTTCATCTTTGATCTGATCCAGGGATTCACCACTGGGCAGTCCTTTCATGACAACCTTGAACACACGTTCAGTTTTGGTGTCGTAAGTAAAAAATTTGTGCTTCTTCTCAGTAAGATACTTGAGAAGACATTTAAATCCGTCCAAGGTTTCAGCCAATACACGGCATTCACCCCGACGTCCAATTTGTAGTGAAAACTTAACTTTCACGAAATTCAAAAGTTCCATGCGAAGAGCATGGAAATCGGTAGTGGTTATCACAATAGGGGGAATCTTTTCCTTCTTGGCATTAAGCCGGGAAAGTTTACTATAATTTTTCTTGGATGATGGATCATTCTCATCATCCGTGAGCAAATCAAATTGATTACTCAAATTAATTTCATCAGAAGGGGGGTCAAGAGTTTGCCCCTTTCTTTTGCGTTTAGGCGCCATGGCGGCAGTAAATTTTTATCCAAATCGACTTCCAAGCAGATTACTATAAGAATCTGAAGGATCGAAGAGGAATTTTCCAAATCGATATCCAAGAAGGATTACCTCGGGTAGGGTCCAAACAAGGATCGAAGAGGAATAAGAGTTGAACAAGGTAGAAAATTTTTACAGGTTGAGCACTGAAAAGTGCTGTTTAAATTTGTTGTAGCTTTAGGTAGTAGTAACACTTCCTTCAGCAAAAAGCAAATAGATCCGCACGGCAAGAGAGCACGATGCGGACTGACAATAATATCAATGATTTCACCGTGCACAAATCAATAATAGGTTTGTTCCGATGCGCTAGTTCATTAGCTACAACATAAACCCTGTTAGAGCACATTGTATGAATATTTACGCTCATTGTTCTCAAAACAAAAGAAGCGCTCCTAGCGAATCCCCTTTTTCTACGTTTATCCGTAGGACGAAGAAAATCTAATGGCGTTTCAATGCGTTAGGACGGAATTGAAACTCGTAGAACGAATTTAGAAGCAAGAAGCAGTGCTAGATTGTAGACAATATCTCATCAATTTGTGACTCTTTATCAAATCCAACGGTACGTATGGAAAGGTGAATAAATTTACAAGTCATCTTTGACAGAAATATTCCATTTTTTGTTTAAATTCGTTCAGAAAAGAGAGGTAAAGCGCGGGTTGTGCTTAGTAGGACGGAAATTAGATCAAAAACCCTAATCAATAGTTTTTCGCAGGGGATTCGGGGTAATGCCCATTCGGGATAATAACGAGTGGAATAATGTTATAAATTTGTAATCGGTAGTTCAACGTTCCATGCACCGATTTTTTATTCCATCACAAGAAATTCTTCAACTCAGATCGAGTAATTCTTCGATAAGGTTTAACAGTTTCCGACTGGTTGAATTGGATTGCATAATAGTGCTCGAAGTGCTCGAAAACTTGAAGGTTGTTGAAGGTTTCTAAAGAGCTATAACATTGTTTGGAATTGATAAATACATAGTTCCATAAAAGTAAACGTAGTGTATCATCAATAGTAAAGTGAAACTAACCAGAGAGTTTTATCATGAAAAATATATTAAATCAAATATGTAAAATTTATCCAGAAAATTGTTATTCAGAAGATGTGTTACATATTCAGTGTGCAAGATACTTGCGGACCTGTTTATTTATGGACGCCTGTTCTGTAATATAAAACTGAAATATAATATCAAATGACAAAAAAAAGTGATAAATTACTAATTTCATCATCTTTTCTGGGGAATGGTACATTCTGGGGCATGCTTTTCTGGGGAATGCTTTTCTGGGGAATGTCTTTCTGGGGACTGGTGCATTCTGGGGAATGTTATAGAACCAAAAAAAAAGATTATTATGAAGTATACAAGCCTAAAATTTTAAATGTTATTTCATTAAGTTACCAAAATATGTGTACATTGATTAAGGTTCACATTTTGCCCCTTTTGCAATTTGCTACCAATTTAACTTTTTTTTTATTAAATAAATGCCAAAGCGCTTAATACAACTGATGGCTGATGCCAGTGTTATATGTAAACAGTTCTGGATAGGTAGTCGCAGCGTATATGGTACGTTTAGCAAAAGAACATTTGGATTAAAGACGTTTGGTATAATGGAAACTTGGCATAATCGCTACGATTCGACATATTTTTGAAAACAAGAGGTAATTTACAATCCATGATTATTCCTGCTTTCTGCTCGTTCTCCTCAAAACTGTTCAATCATGGTATGTTAGGTAACAGAAGGCCGAATCACAAAAGGCCGAAAATGTATGAACCTAGCACAAAAGGCCAAAATCTGACACAAAAGGCCGAAAAAACATAAATATTTATTATACGGTTAATGCAATTTTTACAATTTAAGACATTCGCTAAATTTTATACATTTCTTATATAAAACTAGTTGATAAATACATTTGAAGTGCATCAATGCCAAGTTTTTCGTGACATTTTGATACTGCAGAACATTGGCTTATAAGTGCCCCTTAAAGCTTGTTTCATTTAGCGTAATTCCAGTTGAAGGATATTCGGTTTACAATCCTTCACTTGGCCAACTTTAAATGTACATCTTGTTGAAATATTGCTCATGATTAGCTGAAGCGAAATTGAATGGAAACAACTTTTACTCTACCACAACTACGTTTATGACAGCATATAACTGAAGAGTTTAAATACAATCTAAACCTCCATTCAAAGTGTTTTTATGTTACTTCATACGTGAAGTTAGCGATTTTCAGAGTTGGTTGGAAATGCTAACATGAAGCTTTAGTGTGATAATTTATTAGCTAGAGAATGATCTTTAGAAAAGGGTAGGTGGATAGTTCCGTTTCATACTGCCGTACTCTAACGGAACTATCCACCTACCCTCTTCTAAAGATCAATCTCTAGCTAATAAATTATCACAATAAAGCTTCATGTTAGCATTTCCAACCAAATATAAACCTCGTTTAGTGTTTTAGCGATGCACGTATTTTTCGAAATTTGATTTTGTTTATTCTTTAAACCCTAGCTGTTTAATGGTGTACTGTAAATAATTGTTGTCCCTAGATCTTGAATTCTGAAGCTTGAGTTTAAGGAAGTATAATTTTGAAGATCTGAAATTGTGTTCAATGTAAAGGATTGATTTTATACAAAATTCTTAGCATTTGAAATAGGAAAATATGAAATACGAACTTAATGAAGTCTCAATCTCTTAAGGGGATGAGATGAATTATGAACTAAACAATAATTAAAAAAAACTCAGGATTGGGGTTTAGAACATGCCAAAATCTAAGCATGTATATTCATGTAAATCCTGAGCATGAACAAATAAAAGCGGCGCCGGTGGTGTAGTGGTAAGCGTGATTACCTCTCACCCCAGCAGGCCTGGGTTCAATCCCAGTAGGCGCCGCCGGGATGTTCTGAGGTATAACATCTCTGATCACGCCTTCCTTCGGAAGGGAAGTAAAGCCGTTAGTCCCCAGTTCATGAATTGATGGGTTGATAGGTAGGGTCCAGGTGTGGGAGCTGCCTCCCTGGCGTCGGTAGCATTGGTACTCAGCAAGGAAAACAAGATCGACGAAAAACAAATCAAAGGAAAAAAAAAATATTAAAAATTATATTTATCCATTTTTAACTTTTTTCGTTAAATATCAAACGTTACACACCCTAAACAGTCATTAGTGTTATGTAGGGCATTATAGCCTAGTCAATAAAGGCACGGTATTACCAAACCGGAAGCGGCTGGTTTGATTCCCGGCCCGGTCGAGGGAATCTTTCGGGTTGGAAGTTTTCTCGACTTCCCTAGGCATAGAGTATCATTGTGCTTGCCACACAATATACAAATTCATGCATTGGTATTGGCATCGAAACCTCTCAATTAATAACTGTGGAAGTGCATTTAGTAGAACACTAAGTTGAGAGCACACAATACGCTAATATGCGCTAAATAATAAGCTTGAAATGCGAATAAGAAGAAGAAGTTTTTTTTTCATAATAATAAAACATGAAAGGTCTTTTGTGATTCAGCCTTTCGTATTAATCCCTTCTTTATTAATTATTCAGAGAAGAAAATATTTTCACAACCCACTAGAACAAAAATTCTATGCGAAAGAACGAGCAGTAATGAAAAGAAGGAGTAATTTTTGGTTGTAAATTAACTTTTAGTTCTGCGATTCGTAACGATTATGCCAAATGTCCGTTATGCTAAATTTCCATTATGCCAAACGTCTTTATGTCAAATGTTCTTACGAAAAACATTATTATGCTAAATGTACCAAACCCGTCACAGCTGAGAATAATTGGCGTGTAAGCATCATAAGATGAAGCGTGCCTAGTACTGAACAGTTTGTGCATATGGTGCTTGCACGGTAGTTTGCCGACCTGGATTCCACCAAATTTCATTGAGAAAAATTAACATAACTATGTATTGTGGTATTGTGAATTCAATGCATACATGATTGAGACAAGTTTACTTACGTTTACGATTTGCTCCACGTTGGATGACTTTTTACATACTTCTCGTAGCATATCAGTTGCATTAGTCATACTAGAGCAGTAATCGCCATATATTAGAAATGGTTCTCGAAATTCCAGGAAAACTACACTAAGTTTCAACTTTGAATCTACGGCCACAGTTTCTCGTAATTTTGCCAGGAATTTCTCATGGATGTCTACTAACTCTTTTATACATGGAAATATTATGCGTAAGACATCCTTCGCCAAAACTCGCTCCAAAGGTTGCATAAACTTATATTTTAAAGCCAATAAAGCATCTAAATAATTTGTCTCTGTATCGACCAACTCTTTGATAACAAAATCTCTCTGTTCGAAACTGGCTGTCGACGCAAGCTATAAGGAAGAAAATGGAGATATGCAGGAAATTAGCAGTATCAAAATAGCTGAATCTATGTGATCACATGCTTCTGAGCAATAAAAATTACAAACGATAGTTAAGCTATACTCCACTCACCTGATTTCTCGATATATTTTGGATTGAACATAAATCTTGGTAAACTTCTTCTACTTTGGTATCATGTTCATCATGAGCACTGCAAACAATGTGATTGACGGTTCTAGTAACATGCAAAAAAAAAAACAAAAAAAAAACAAAATAAGAGTAAACAATTACGCCAAATAATTGATAACAAATTAGTCCATTCTTGAAATTGCATTTGTTCTTGAAGTACATGCAAAAAAATATATATAAGGCAAGCCCTGAAGTAGGCTTAAACGATGCTTCAGAAATCAATAGCATAAATATATCAATTGTTATACGTCTTTAATTGAGACCAGTACATTATGAACCGTACAATGATGCAAACAACTCCACACAAATTATATAAAATATTTTACGCAAAATTGTATACCGCGTACAAACCATACATAAAAAAGATGAATCACGTTATGAGAAGTTCCCGAACAATTAAATAAAGTTGTTTTATTAGGCGGTGCTTGCAAAGATTGCTATGAATCAAATCTACTCAAGAAACCCCGATTTTTTCTTGCCGTGAATTATGGATGTTAGAAATATAATGGAAAGTAATAATATTAATAATAATAATAAAAACCATGTTTCACTAGATAATGGGTAAAGGTTAGGGCTGGCAAATGTCGTTTTCAATGAAAGATCTCACGCGATATTTACAGAGATACTTCTGTCACTATCATCGGATGAGAAAACGATAATAGAGATTTTCTTCAAAATCTCATCGAATTTTTTGTCATGACAGAATGTGACAGTGTTGTAATCATCGTAATTACTAGCTCATTTATTGCTATTAATGTTACTAGTACCGAGGAAATCTCAATTATATATTCACTCTATCGATTAGATACGGTTGGTTGCTTAAATTCATTTAAATCAGTTAGTAATGTCGATGTCAAAACCGCATAAGAGTTATTCTCATGAGTGTTTGATACATTTGGAATTGAAGTCCGTATTAGGGATTCATAATTTCAAAACACGTTCAAGCTTGTTCAAATGCTAAAATCTTGTAATTGTAGTGGAGATTTTGTTTTAAAGTACATAACTTGAAATCAATAGAATTGATTGTTCAGCTGTTGAGATTTCGGTAAATAGTCTTAAATATTTTGATGTTTTCACACTATTTTAGAATTCCATCTATTTCTAAATAATTTTCTTGTTTTAAAGTAATTCTATGCCATTTGGAGTTTCTAGGTCCATTTTAGGCGTTAAGAGCTTGATTGTTTTGTTTTGATAGTTGTTTAATGAATTTTCCGACACTTATGGCGGTTTTAGCTATTCTTGTGTTCTTTTTGGGAATTTTTCCGTACTAAGGTAAGGTGGTTCAATGCCGTTTTGGCATTGTTTTTTGGCTACTTTTGTCTTTGAGGCTACTTTTTAGTTTTAAAGTAATTTTGGATTTTTTGGCCATTATTGCATTTTTAGCTTTGTGCTATTGCGGTGTTTTACTATTAATTTAATCGTTTTATGGCCATTTTGTCTGTTTTAGGCCAATTACAAACAAACACCAGTTTAAGGTCATTTATTTTAAATAATGCTGGGATGCTACGGTGAAATGGTACCCCATACCTCCAACATAGTCTCATTCAGTTGCTTATGTAAAAATCCTATTTATTTACACGCTGCATTAGTTTTCGTGAAATTCTGCTTGGAGAGCTGAAGAGACGTAGTCTCACGTCAAAACCTAGCTAGTTCTTGAACATGAACCTGTCGATTAAGTATCGGCTTGATGCAAAACCAACAGCTTTAAGATGCAACTAACCATCAGTCGATTTGCATGCGTTACTTCTTCTTGTATTTCTAAATCCTCATTTTCTAAATATATTATTAAAAGAGAGAATGGTTTTCGCAATATAAAAACGATGAAATGCTCCTTAAACCTTGGACAAATGCTCTTTTAATGCGTAGCTTGCCCGTAGCTCCGCTCCTTTAACTAATAAAAACACGGGCAGGACAGTGAATCTGATTAGCTACGCAGTAAAATAGCATTTTTTCCAAGGTTTAGAGAGCATTCCATCGATTTAATATTACGTTTCCATAGCTGCTATTAATAAAATTCATTGGCAGCGTGCGTCACCGTGCCAAAACCGTCCATGCTTCATAATTATCCACTGGTATAATTAGGAAAACCCTACCTTCTCTTTTGTTCCTTCACTTACAACGACAAATGTGACGACACACTATCTAGTGCATAAGAATGTCATAGCCAACAAATTCACATTGGTAGACTGCGCTGTATTATTCAAACCCCGGATGAAGCGAATGACAGGTTACGTGCACTTCTGCCATCTCCTATGTTTCAATATTGTTTAACCTATTTGGAACGCACGAAGCTTACCACTGCCGGCAAAATATTTACATTTTGATTTATCTGAAAATGACGGAAAAGGATATCGAAAATCAGATTTTTCCTGTGATTCTTAAGACAATTTACTTGCATATTTTTTTTATACTTTGATGAATGAATGAGCAAAATCAGACGTTTGTGTTTTACCTAACTTTTTAAAATTATGAAAAAAATTGCACGTGATTTTTTTAAGAATTGCAGGAAACAACTGATTTTGTTGGATATTTGATATCATTTTCCTATAGGGTTGACTACCCCATTTCCGGCCTATTAAGCACAACCCATACATAGTCTTTCTTAATCTAGCGCAGTTTAGCACCAAAAGGAATGTTATTATTACTGATGGCTTCCAAATTTATTTACCTTTCCGTATCTTACGGTACGATTTGATAAAGAGAAACCAATCGTTGAGATATTGTCAAAAGTCGGACTGCTTCTTGACGCCAAACTCGGCCTACGGATTCTAAACTCGGCCTAATGCATTGCAACGCCATTGAAACGCCAATGAATTCACTTCGGCCTATCGGATGAAGATAAAAATTGATTCGGTCAGAGCACTTCTTTTGTTTTTGGGAATTATGGGTGCAAACCTTCATATCACGCGTTCTCATTGACTTCGTTCGGTATAATAAGCTACCGTATCGTACCAAACGCATAATTGACATGTTAACTCTGAAATCATGGATTTATTTGAAGTTTTCTGCTCGATAGGCCCAAAATGGGCGATTAGGCCGAAGTAGTTCACTACCCTATTTTTAGAAAAAGCACAACTCCCCAAATTTCTGGTAACGCTTTTTCAATGATACTTTTACGTTCGCTAGCAACGTATTGGTATCGAAGTAGTTTTCTTGGTGTTTTATTTCGTTCACCTAGAGATTTGAAAAGCAGTTTTTATTTATTTATTTATTTATTTATTTTTTATTTTATTTTATTTATTTTATTTGCTTGTGAATTTGATTACATGAAATTGTGAAATGCTACGGAGAACACAAGTAAGTAAATGCAGTGAACGTGTTTTACTCAGGAAACTTTCGTTGTAAAAACAGGAAATACTTGCTTTAAATTTTCGGGTGATTAGTATGTGTATACTAAAGATGACGATTGAATAATATTACAAAAAGAAGAAGAATACACGAATGACGGTCAAGGTGACTACATAGAGGTGTTCTAATGTGTCAAATTCATGATTCAGCCATGTTGGATTTTTGTATGGGACAGCGACCGAGTTTGTTTACAATTTGCTCTAAGACCGCACTCCCCCCGCGAACTACTCGCCCATATAGTGACAAAGCTTTATCACCATGTATATACCCACCATGGTAAGGATGTCTTGACAAGCGCAACGGAAATCTCTTCATGCATACACTAGAAAAAATCCTCACATCGTATTTATGTGTCCCACACATGAATTTTTACAATGTGATCAACAAATTATATTTATTTGTCGGACACATACTTTTTACGTGTACACATAAAAGCCATGCGAGGCCACACACACACACACACACACACACACACACACGCCAATACACATGTGTGGAATTTATGAGTTGGAACTCGGTTAACTATCCCGAAAATGGTAAAAATAAGTGTAGAACAATACGAGGCAAGATAAAATAGGCGACCCTTGGTAGTTTGCTTAATAAGTTGAAAAGAAGCGAGCTAATAAAATCGTACGCTTTAAGAATCGGGGATGGTCTATTGAATTTCACTTCATTTATATGGGATATTTTTTTATCATTTGTTAATTTGTGCCATTAGGTGAGAAAACCTCTCTCTGAAAATTTCAGCTCATTTGGACGTAACACAAACTGGCGCTTTTGGTTAAAATTTATGGAGACTTTGGTTGAAATATATGGTGAAATAACATTCCTTCACTCTTTCGTGAACTGGTTCAGCAAACTCGTTTAAGCTTAGTACATATAGTTTAATTTATAAGAAACAACTTTGCTGAAGTCAGCATCACAATTCACGTTAGTATTATAGAGATATTAGTTATGTATGTGCATTTTGTTCGTAAATTGCCACAAAATATAGGCAGCTTATGCAACGTATCAACTAGGTTACCACTCGTGTCATTAGGTGAGATTACCTTTCTTAATGTTTCAGCTGTTTTGACGTAACACGGGCAGGCACTTTTGGTTTAATGTTTATATAGGGGATTAGGTAGAAATTTTCATATTCAAAATGCTCATATACATTCAAAAGCGAAAATCTCAACAAAACTTACTGGATTCATGATACAATCTTCAAACTAAAGTAAAAAAACAAACAAACACATTCTAACTAAAAGCGCCAGCTCATCTTATAACCAAATGAGCTGAAACTTTCATAGAATGGTTTTCTCACCTAAAGGCACAAATCTAGTGGTTGGCCCGTGGAAAATTAGAACTGTTATTTTTGTGGGCCTGTCTAATTTGGCCTATTCTGCGCGGCGTGTGAGGTGAGGTGACACGCTGTCACTTGTGAAGTGACAAATGTCACCTCGGGTGAGGTGACTCTCCGTGCAAATCAAATGGAGAGTCACCTCACCCGAGGTGACAATTGTCACTTCACCATCACTTCACTGTCACCTCACCTCACACGCCGCGCAGAATAGGTCCAAATGTCTACAGAAAGATCGTTAAATAATTTTGTAACTCTAGACCAACAATTGAAATAGGCGGAACAACGAAACGTAAACAATGGCTTTAAACGCCAACAGTTACTTATCGAGAATCAAAACACACCAAGCAAACTAACGATAAAGGAAGTTTGCACTATCAGATTCTGGAGTTAAATTGTTTAAATGTGTTTTGAATCTCGAAAAAATTAGCATTTACTGAATTCCTCGTTTAACTCAGCTAATGAACCCCAGTTTATTTTTAGAAGGATTTTTAAATTCAAAGTTATACCAAAGTTCTAAACAACGTGATTCATCCAAAACAATAATCCGCATACCTACAAATTGATATTTTATAAACCATGTTCAATGTATTTCTTCCAAAACATTAACTAGCATTGTACACGATGTTTGTATACTAATTTTGATTTTTATATGAATAAGCAATAAAACAAACCATTACAACTACTACATTACACACATTTAAAAAATATTATTGATCAATAATAGCAAAAAATAACCTGTGGTGTAGTAGTAGAGAAAGTGACGTAGCATAAGTCTTCATAAATTTTTTCACTATCATTAGCAATGCTGTCGTAGATATCCCGTGCTTCATAATCTATTTAAAAATAAACTTGCTTATTCGTGATTGAATATGATAAGGTTTTACTTAATTACCAAAGCAACTCTGATGCTCCGTACTCCACGTTATTCCATAAAACTGATCCACGTTATTGGTTTCGACTGCATCTCTAATTTCTTTTTTTGTCGTAGTATAAATGTTAGATCTGCAAATGAGAGATATATGTACATATACTCTAAGAAATAAGTGACCACGATGCTTCGGAACTGAAAGCCGATAAATGAAATAAATTACGTTTCGACATTTTCAGATTGCTTAAGCGTTAATATTCCAACTGATACCTGATTATAATTCTGTTCTTCTACTGTGTTGTTTAATGGTTGCACGCGATTCATCGGAAATCGACAATCCGCAAAGAGATATCAGGGCATGGTGAACAGCAAATCCCTATTAGAAATTTCCCGATGTTTCCCCAATTTTTACCCGGAATGTTGGTAACTTTACCGGTTATACATTATACATTATACGGGATATAGTTACATTTAAGTTAAACATATAACCGAATACGATTGATCCGAAGATATCACTTTGTTAAATGGGTGTTTACTAAAACAGCAGAGTTTTTCTTGCTTCTTGAATTTGTTTCAGCGTTCGTTTCAGCAGTGCTTCTCTAAAAGAAATTTGAGATTCTCTGAGACTCCCTTAACTTTTTTTATAACATCTTCTCTGCAGAATACTTTTAAAATTCGGAGAATTCATCCTAAGTTTCGCTTCGAATTTTTTACTATTCTACCAAGAATTCACTGAAGCTTCCGTCCATAATTCTATTTAAAAATTGATTAGGAGTTCCATGCAATGTAGCTCACAATTATGCTATGAATTATCTTGATATTCTCCTCTAAATTCAGAGTGTTTTCGGTTCATACAAATTTCCAAAAAAATGTAAATTTTTTCGAAAATTGTCTACGTTCTTTATGTACAGTCCCTCTTCCTTCAAATAAACGAGCTGAACCACGTGGATGATAGTTTCGATTGCATGGCGCGGCTGCTAGATGACGCAGCTTTTTCTTCCGGTCTACTGGGTCATCCGGACTGATCTGGAACATCTTCCGTTTGAACGGACGTATTCTCACCAGTATCCACCTGTTTGTTTCTAGATCACAGCGATTTGGTTTCACACAAATAACTAAGGTGGGTTGAGCGATTTGTTGATGCAGGCTACGGCATTCCTACTATCGCACCATAGCACAATTTCTCGGGACTCATATCCAGGGTTAGAAATACCTTCTGAATTAACCATATCAGCTAGTAAACGGCGCAAAGCTCTTTTATGGAATTGACTGGGTCGTACGATACGCGCTGGAAGTCTTCCCTAATAAACGGACACCATACACGAACGATATAAGAAATGGTGTAACTATACCACATAAGGTAGATATGATATCTCGAATAGGTGGTTAGCCAGTTCTTATGGCTATTTTCTATCCGGGTTCTCTGTGCTGACTGAAAAACAAGAATCGACGGTACACGCACCTTGCACTGGTTTTCTTGACGTGAAGTCGAATGACTTTGGTACCGAAACGATATCCATGGAATCAGGATAATGAATTTTTGGTGGACTTTTATCTGGGTGCACTCGGCTCAGGAATTGGCCTTGACATTGAGTGGACTCCACTTTACATCAGGACCAGCTTGAACACCAAATGGGATGACACCAAACAGTTTTCAGTTGGCTTCGGGTGTCGTATACCGGACGAGTTCAGGCGGACATCGGGAACTGTTTGAAAACCAGACGGCTTCCGACAAACGTCTGGAACGGCTTGAACACCGGACGGTCTCCGGCTGACATTGGGAAAAATCAATCCATAGTAATTCTGTGCAACTATCTGCAAGTGCCGCGAATTCTGCTTCCGTACTACTGAGAGCAATGCATGTTTGTTTACTGGAGTACTTGTTGAATGTACGTCTTTTGGGTCAAGGAGAATCCCTTCTCGGTGCGGTACCTTCGACAAAGACGTAGTCCGGATCGTAGTGTGCTGTGCTCGAAGAAAGACATGGAAAATTTTCAGCCGTCAATTTATACTCCGTTTTTTCTCGACTTTTGTGAAGTTGTAATTAGATTTCGCTTATGCTCCCGCTCCAGAAATTTGTGGCATCGCGAGTGATAGTTTTTAAGTTCAGTTTATTTATGCGTTGTATGATTTTATGAGCGGTCGCTTCGTGTTCGCGTCAAGGAGATGCAAGTTGCCACTTCCACTTGGAGCAATTGACTATATTAGACCTGAGGATTGATCCCCGTAAGGCGGGTCTATGATCGGAACTACTACACCAAACGTGACAGAGCTGCTTGCAAAGGATTCACTTGGACTGATTTGGTGAGATTGTTCCTTTTTTTTACTTTTATCTATTTAAACTTAATTTCTATGAATCCGTGGCATTTGGAATCATTTGATTCGGATGAGACTTAACTTTCATCCTATGGATTTTAGACATCCTATTTTTTTTAGGAGACATCCTACTAAATACGTGCCATCTACAAAGCAGGAATTGCTTTGATGATGGAAGTGTACACGCAGTACCAATATACATTTTATATCGGTACTACGTGTATGCGGGGTGTGTTGTAAGTGAAAGTAGCCTTGGAATGGACGTGAGTGACCAGGCATTCTGAAATGGGTTACTGAATCTCAACAGAGCTATCACCTTTCAACTTCCGGGCTAAAATTGTTTACAATGGGATCAGTATAAGATAATAATAGATTATATTGCAAACATTTTTCTTCCATAAAAACACTGCCGGACAGTGGAAGTTGGATTGTATATACATATACACATACAAGGAGAATCCCTTCTCGATGCGTTTAACTTTGATATCGAGTAAATGGCTGATGTTTCCCAACGACGTTACCTTAAAATGACTGTTTTGTATTCGTTCTCACCGTAGCAAGCAATCACAACTTTCGACTACGTGAAATGTTTGCTGCTGGCTCAAGTACAAACACGGATCGTTTTACGTATGCTGGAATTTCATCTGCTTCACTTGGTAGAACTTCTTGTTCCAAACATAACCAGCTTGCTTCAGTCCATACAACTTATTCCTCGAATTAGAAAGCTTATTGCTTATCGCATAGTTGCTTATTGCGTGCTCTCAACTTAGTGTTCTAGATGTACTTCCACAGTTATTAATTGAGAGCTTTCGATGCCTGTACCATTTTTGCATCAGTATAATTGTGTGGCAAGTACAATCATATTCTATATCCAGGGAAGTCGAGAAATTTTCCAACCCGAAGAATTCCTAGACCGGGACCAGGAATCGAACCCAGCCACCTCCAGCATGGTCATGCCTTGCTGCGCCTTTACCGACTGAGCTAAGGGAGGCCCCAGTCCATACAAGGATCTCTGCAAAGAACACACAGCCTTTTTGTCATCAACTTCGTACCAGGGTGACTGCCGCATGAAAATTGACTCCTCCAATTCTCCGTTCAGGTAAGCGGTCTTCACATCAGCATGTTTTTACTAGCCTCCCGCATCGGCTGGCAGCCGTTAATAGTACTCGAAACGTTACTTGGCGTACCACGGGTACAAACACTTCATCATAGTCCATCTCGAATTTCTGAATGAAGGCTTGTGTGACTAGACCGGCCTTGTACCTTACCACCCTACCATCTTCATCTAACTTGCGTTTGGAAAGCCATTTACTACCAACCTGTTTGCGACCTGGCGGTAAATCGGTTAGCTGCCATGTACCATTGTCGCGTAGAGATTTTATCTATCATAGCTGTTTTCCACAGTTCGCCTTCAGGACACTTCATGGCTTCGTTGTACGTCTTTGCCTCGTCATTTAGTTTTCTCACCATACACGGGAAAAAAAGAGTTCCCATATTCGTGAACCACAGCCGATGGATGGTTGTTTCTAGAAAACGTTGGGGTAACACTCCCTTAGGACTACGGGATGAGCGTCGAATTGGTGTAGTTGCTTAGTTGCCATCGGTTTCTTCTTCGTTTGATGTATCGTCTGAACCTGCAAACTCCCCCTAAACAAGACTTCATTGGCGTAATATGGCTCTGCATCTTCGAAATCGAAATCAGACATTTTGTCATCGAAATCAGAACCGAACTTGGTAAATTCAGACTCGTATTCTTCAATTTCGGATGATTTTGGATGCTTGAAGTGGTTGTCAATTTCTTCCATCTCGATAAACTTGGCATCACGGCTGATGGTTATCTTGTCAGTGATCCGGAGCGCCTTGTGATTATCGGCATACCCAATAAACGTTAGAGCACCCAAAAATGTGCAGATTGCTGTAATCCGGTTGTTTCCCGTACCACAATTCGAACGGTGTCTTCTCAATGGATCTTGACGGAAGGATGTTTTGTAGATATAAAGCTGCATTGATGGCTTTGGTCTAATAGCGGTGATCGAGTTTTGCATCTAGTAGCATGCAGCGGACCATCTCCATTAGTGTCCAATTCTTGCGTTCTGCAACTCCGTTTTGTTGCGGGGAGATAGCTGCTGTATATTGCGGAACAATTCCGTTGGCCCGGTAAAATCGTCCCAAACGCTTTGCCTTGTATTCACCGCAATTATCTGAGCGGATGACAACAGGATTCCGTCCAAACCGGTTTCGAACCATACCATACCATGTACTCCTCGATCACGTCTGCAGCTTCCAATTTGCGCATCAAAAAATACACCACTGTGTAGCGGCTTTAGCCACCATCATTGAATGAATATCCATCTTATCCGGGAATGGCTTCCGTGCTATCATCCCTTCAACACAACATTCGCCGGTCTGATGTATGTCGCATTTCTTCGCCCCTCTAGACTTGTCTTCACGGACAACTCGTTGGATCGCTATGACCTAGCTTGCTATGCCAAGACTGAACGCAGTAATATAACACCAAGGGAAGTAAAGCCGTTGGTCCCCGGTCCATGAGTTGATGGGTTGATAAGTAAGGTCCAGGTGTGGGAGCTGCCTCCCTGGCGTCGGTAGCATTGGTACTTGTAGGAATAATGTGTAGTATATAATCCTACCGACTGCGCCATTGTCGGATTTCTGCATTATAAAATTCAAGGAAGGATAAACCTTCATGCTTCGCTCAGTACACCTTGGCATAAACTGGGGTACCAGCGTCAATACTTTGCTTGTGTTGTGACTGCTGACTGCTGATAGGCTGGTACGTGGGACGTATAAGATCCAAAGT